ACAAATTTCAAAGGCTCCTATCGGAAACTATTAGAGATAGGTAGGAGGTGCTCGAAGGAATGTCATAGAGAATAATAGTGGTCAACTGCCTGGATTAAAAAAAAACAAAATGGCGAATTCAAAATGGCTGCCGAAGAAAAACTTGCTTCGATCCGGCCGAAAATTGGTATGCGAGGGTCTTTAGGAGTCCTTAACCGTAATTTGGGGTCATTGTTTCTTTTCGCCATTGTTTAATATGGCTGTCATATAAGCGTTTTTTCGACATAAGTGGCTGCCGAAACGGCCTTGCTCTGATTCGGCTGAAAATTGACATGCGGAGGCCTCTAGAAGCAGGATAATAATTTGTGGTGAAAATTGGCTTTTTCGGCATTTTCAAATATGGCCGCCATAGAAGTGTTCGTTAGCGGCAGAAAAAAAATGCTCTGATCCCTTTGGAAATTGGCATGTGTGGGTTTCTAGGATTGCTTGATAATAATTTGTGATCAAAAATGGTATTACGCCATTTTTTAATATGGCTGCCATCCATTCAACAACTAATAATAATTAGCTCTAATTCAACTGAAAATCGATATGTGGGGGTCTCTATAGATGTTTGATAATAATTTGCGGTCGAAATTTATTTTTTGCCTTTTTTCAATACGGCTGCCATAGAAACTTTTTTAGCGCCAGATAAAAATTTGTTCTAATTCGATTGAAAGTGGACATATCGGGGTCTCTATGAGTGTTTAATAATAATTAGCGGTCAAAATTTATTTTTCGCCATGTTTCAATATGGCTGCCATACAAACTTTTTTGGCGGTAGATAAAAATTTCTTCTAATTCGACTGAAAATGGCATGGCTTCAGTCACAATTTGGGGTAAAAATTTTGTTACTGCCGTTTTTCGACATAGCCGTAATTTTTTATGTAAATGGTTATTGGAAAAACTTGCTTTGCTCGGACTGAAAATTGGCACGAAAAGATTTCTAAGATTGTTTGATAATAATTAGTGGTCAAAATATATTTTTTGCAATTTTTAAACATGGCCGCCATTAAAGAGTTATTTAAATTTTTTTAAAACAAAACCACGTGCCGAAGCCGCAGGCCGAGGTCCGCGGAGGGCGAAGCCCGAAGCGTCCGCACGTCATCAAATAGAGATAATATACGGAGACGTAATAGATTATGAGTACAAGATCTCACAATTGTAAAAATGTAAAACATGCTTCCTGCTGTAGTGGAAATGAGATACTTATTATAGCGTTGTTGTATATCAACCGTCTCTATGTTAGATTTCATTTTCTTGAAAACTATGCCAAAGAGAAGTATTTAGGGGGGGAAAAATGCCAAACTACTGCCGAATTTCCTGTACTATGTAGGTACTATGAATACCAAATCAACGGTAACCAAGAATACTCAGACCAAAACCAACTTAGAAATGTTCGTTTCTTAAATTGGTATAAATCGGGAATCGACCTCCCATCAAGCGCCCATAGTACTAATTGCTGTGCCACCGAAGAGCATAAGCACACCCCGTAAACCGAAACCGACCACGCGCCGCAGGCCGAGCCCGACCCCACCGTAGGTGGGGTACAGGACTCGTATTCCATATACTTCACACCTTTTACCACAAAAAAGACATATTATTATATTACCTGATGAGCATGCAAAAGTTTGCCTTCTCCAATCCATTGCTTAGTTTTAGCCACACTTTCAGGCACAGTGAAGATATGCTTCAGACTGTCCATAGCCGTGACATATTGGGAGTGGCGCAAATCCTCTTCACGTACAGCTTGGAGTGAAGCCAGTAGTGGAGGGACTCCTTTAAGAAGATCTTCTAGATCATCCATTCTGTGAAAGAAGAATATTTAAACAAAGGTCTTCCCATGTGACTATAGAAATCATTACAACTTAGTATGGAAATAATCATTCACTTGTAGTTTGACAAAAATGATGATTTTTTAGTTTTGGTGTGGAACACTAAAAATTAAGACAAATATTTGAACAAACAGGACTACAAAGCACTATTACTATTTTCTTTCATGCAATTTGGGTCTTTTCAAACTTTCTATGTTGAATGAATTTCTCAAGATTAAAGTTTTAACTTCTATCCTGATTTCCTACACTTGTTACATTCTATATTTAAAAGAATTTCTGTTATTGCTAATTACACTTTATTAAATTTTTTTTCAAATCTCTACAATCAGTTGCCAGATTATGAGTAATATTTTGTGGGTGATTTTTGGCATTCGAGAGCAAGGAAGCCAATGCTTCAGCCTCTCTTAGTCATCAAAGACATGCATACATTTTAGTCTCCTGATGTTGCCACTATCAACCAGTGCCTCAGTGAGCGCTAGCCTTGAGTTACGAATTTAAGTTCACTAAGGTTTCCCTTTAAATAAAATTACATGATAGAATTATTCTAGCAACTTATACAAACTTCAAACTAATTTGCTGTACATCATCGAGGCATTCTTGTAGCTGCTTCAAACCAACACTGACTCCGTCAAGTTTGCCTTGTACTGCAGATTTCAGCTGAGCTTCAATTGAAGCCTTCTTGTGTGTTATTCTCTTTTTATAATGTTCAACCTAAAACGAAAATAATTGTAGTTAACATTTTATTAAAGATAATAGAACTACATATTACATTACATACTTACTGATTACATTATATTGATGCTGTTTCCAGCATCAAACAAAAGTGTAATGTGCATTTGGAAATATTACAGGAGAGTGATTTATTTTTTATGAAAAACATCATAATTACAATTTAATTTGATATATGGATAATCTCAGTACAGAGTACTAAAAACCGACCTCAAAAGTACGTGGAATTACGTTTATTTGCTAAGTTTTATTGAAATATCCCCTAGTTCACCACTATACAGGACTTGACCCTGGAGATAATAAAAATAGGTTCTCACTACGACACTACTCAAAGTATATTGAGAGAAAAACGCCTCGAACTGGAGAAATAGCAAAATCAACCATTAAAGTAATTGCTCCTAAATTAAATTAGGCGCTATTTGCAAAAATGAATCTTCATGCGTGAACAGTCTCACCCTTCGAGGTGGATGATTTTCTTCAAAATGAAATGGGACCCTATGGAAGTACCCCCTTTCCAACAAAAAAAGAATCATGAAAATCGGTTCACAAATACCGGAGTTATCGCGTAACATACATACAAAAAAAAAAGAACATACAGTCGAATTGAGAACCTCCTTCTTTTTTAAAGTCGGTTAAAAACTAGAAAGTTTTAGCTTTTCAATATAACAAATCAAATTAGAGTAATGGTTCTTTTCTTGAAAAAAAAAAACTTAATGCACATTGGACATTTTATCCTTCCAGCATCAATATATTAAGTAATATACAGGCTGTATATTTGAAGGTGGGACATACTTATAGAGTGCATTATAATCCTGATTCTGAACCCAAAGAAATAATAAACTTAAACTTTACAACAAAAATGTTTTTATTTTTTTTTTTGTCGACTACTACTTGTGAACAACATTAGTTATCGAAATCTATGCACATCACTATTATTGCTCCGACGCAATGGTGAGCTGCGGCACGGCGGCGAACATCAAAGCACGGGTCGGGGGTGGGGGCGCGGGCACATAGAGACAGTGCACGCGGGACCTTGGTCTAGCAAAGATACGTACATTATTTGTATTTCCGCTCGCTCGCGCAAAATAAATATTTATTTTAACGTCGAATTGACTGAGATGGTGCAGCTTTACGCAATAAGTGGTGATAGTGTGAGACGAGCTATTGAATTGTTCCCAAATCGAAGTTTTATGTGGAGGACGTGAACATTGACGAAGTGTTGCATGAGAGGATTATCTCAGCATTTTATACTGTGAGACTAATTGTGTTTGTGTTGAACAATTTAATACAAAATTTACTACGACATGCTAGAATATGCATTGTAGAAAACGGTGGACATTTTGAACACTTCCTCCGTACCCAAAAGTGTAAATAAACTGTTAAATAACTAAAAAATCAATCATTGTAAATATTTTGATTTCACATTTATAACTACGCCAAAAACCTCAATTCTTATTAAATGATAACTAGTTACTAAATCATAAACTTATCTTTTATAGTATGTGAAACATTTCGACAATAATTCAGAAGTAAAAAATAATTAGCATAAGCTAAAACTTAATCATTTCGATAACAGCTATTTTCATGATAACATAAATATGCATAGGTGAGAAACTTAGTTTTTTATTTTCTAGAGAAAAGAGGTGCTTTTAGTAGGAAAAGGGAGATGTGAAATCATTGTTATTGTTGCTGTCTCACTCAGCGCTCGCTTGGTAGTATTCCCATTGCACTCGAAATCAAGCGTGAAGGGAATAGGTTTATTCCTTATTATGTACACTTGGATTCACGAAAGATGACCACGGCGCAGAAGGCATATTTTAGGTCTGTTTGGAGGTGCGAGGTGAGGCGCGGGCGGAATGCGTCAAGATCGGAGCGACGCCATTGGTGCGCGCGCGTCTCGTGATAGACTGCTCAGTCGCTATTCGTCTATCGCGGCGTCGACGCGCTCACACTGCTCTCGAGTACAGTCGAAAAGAAGTGTTTCTTTGTTTTAAATTGTTTTTTATTTGTTGTTTTCGTTTTTTGTTAAGTTTTTTGTTGAGATTTGTTATTGTGTTGAACTTATTTGCTATTTTACAATGCCGCGAGGAAAAGGCAATACTTTGAATAGACAGTCGAGAAGTTTGGTGTACAACGTGTTTCAATATTTTTCACAAGATTTTAAAATACTCGAAGCTTACAAAAAAAACGGCCGCGGCAACAAAGACGTCTGTATCGACAGTACAAAGAATTATAAAAGAAAGTAAATCTTCACCGTTCTTAGTGGTTTTTAGAACCCCTGTTAAAAAGAGACCGCGCCGTAACCCTGCCTCCGACGTTGACGCCTCTGACAAAGGGGTAATTAAGAGATGTATTCATAACTTTCATTTAATTGAAAAAGAATTGCCAACTTTAGAAAAGTTACGAGCAAAATTACATCAAGATATTAACTTTAAAGGATCCAAAACAAGTTTGGGTCGATTAATAAAAAGAATTGGATTTAAGTGGAAAAAAACAGAAAATAACCGAAATATTTTAATAGAAACATCAGCTATTCGGTTGTTACGAATCAATTACCTAAAAAAACTCCAAGAATATCGAAGACAAAATAGACCAATCATTTATACTGACGAATCGTACGTCCATGCTACACATGCAAAACCCATGGGCTGGGCTGACGGTTCTACAGCAGGTCTGAAAAAGCCTATCTCAAAAGGCCAACGTGTCCTTATCGTTCATGCCGGTTCAGAGGCTGGATTTGTGCCAAATGCATTATTAACTTTCAAGTCGGGCACAAAATCAGGAGATTATCATGACGACATGAATTTTGAAAATTACCAGAAATGGATTCGAACTCTATTGGTACCCAATCTCCCACCGAACTCCGTTGTTGTGGTAGACAACGCCCCATACCACAATAAAGAATATGATATGGCTCCCACATCTAATTCCCGAAAATCCGACATGCAAGAGTGGCTTACCAAAAATGGAATCAGCTTTGATTCCAATATGTTGAAACCTCAATTGTACGATATAATAAAAAATAACAAACCTCGTTTAAAGAAATACTCCGTTGACAAAATTTTGATGGAAAATGGTCACGATGTTCTCCGTCTTCCACCGTACCACCCGGATTTAAATCCCATAGAAATGGCTTGGGCCTCTATAAAGGGTTACGTGAGTAGTAAAAACGTAAAGTGGAATATTAGCTGCGTTATAGATTTAATTAAAGAAAAAGTGAATCTGATGGGACCAGAGGAATGGAAAAAACTATGTGACAAAGTAAAATCTATAGAAGAAAGCTATATAAAAAGTGACCACATCGTGGATGTTCTTACGGAGGAATTAATTATACGTGTGGGAGAATCCGACGAGAGCGAAGATTCGACAGATGTGGATTTTCCCGAATCATCGGAAGATGAAGACTTTAATATGGAACCCGGCCCCAGTTCCTCAAGTTCCACGATTCCCTCAAGTTCCATGATAGAGGGAATCATGGAACTTGAGAATAGCGATAGCGACTAAATGTGTTTTACAAATTTTTATATTTTTGGTTCAATTTATTATAATAAACATTTAAAATTACTTACGTTTGATTTATTTGCATAACCAGCGTTTACAACATTACACAAATTATTAAACCAAAATTAAAATATTATATTGTCATAAGTCTTTTCTTCATGAGTGTACGTGCGCAGACGGCCGCCATTTGTGGTCATCTTTCGTGAATCGTACTGTACACTCCAAAACAAATTTCTTGATTTATTTTTTATTCTATCCCATATCCTAATTTTATTTTAGTCTATATTAAGTTGTAACATGATGTACTATGACGTACAAATATTTCTCACTTTCAAATAATACAGCCTGTATTAGCATGAAAAAATAAAGGAGAATTTAATGATATTTCAGCTATCCATCATTAGAGTAAGTTCTCATAAGTCGAACACGTTAACTAATTTTAACTGTTAATTTTGTGCTCTATCTTTTTCTATTTAAAACGGACATTTGAGCATTTGGTTCTTACCCACGTTTCAGTTAGTGGACGGCAGATGGTGATGTGACATTGGAGGAATTTGTAATGGTGTCACCAGAGACTTTAGGTTCCGTCACTGGACTTCTACATAGCCTGAGTAGGTAAAGACAATCGAAGCTAAGAAAACCCTAGTTTTTTAATTCTATTGATCTTGGTTTAAATATTGTATTCAAAGATCCTAGTAAATCAAATAGTATTGGTTGAGTATGAGGATGAAGCTGCTCCCGACTTAGGTGTGCTAAAGTTTTTCTCGATTGTACGATGTAAATTAGAATAAAAATATGATGAAGAAACGATTACAAACTTTTTCAAGTTGCCCAGGTCTTTGCATCATGTTCATCACCATTTTCTCCGCAGCCGCCTTCGCTTCTTCTTCTATCTCGTCCATGGTACTCATTATAGACCAATTTAATGCAAATAATCGATTTAATAGGCTTATTTTTACTAGAACATTAAAAACAAAATACGTAACGCACAATAACTCACATGAACACAACACATCACCCCAAACATTTTTTAATGCTTTGAAAAAGTCATGACGGTATGTTGTAAAGTGACAATGGAAAAGCGCTTGTTCTTTTTTTTTGTTTGCTCGCAAATTTATCTAAAAAAGCACTCCACCTAAACGTCACAGTTGTGGGCGTTTAAACGAAAAGCACATGGGCATTTTATTTTTCAGTAGAAAGTGTGCCCTAACAAAAACATGAGTGTAAAACTGTAATATACTTTTTAAACAACAATAAAATGTTAATTATTTCAGGATAACAAATTGATTTTTGTGACATCATCATGAACTAAAATTAGCTTTTTTAAAGATTTTTCTTATAAAATTACTTCTTTCTTCTGTGTTACCTACCTAATTATTCTCACTGTCAATATTTTTGTCCAATTTAATTATAATACATGCGAATAATTCAATAGTACATTTGGAAAAACATTTGTTTTGACATTTGACGTACTTCCATTTGACAACGGTATCATGTACCTCATGTACTGCGAAATGGACACGGTTGGCATTTAAGATGACGTTACATATTTTCGATTCCCGTGTTTGACACAGACCAATGTAATGCTATCTCTTTTGGTTTAAGACGGCACGTAATAGTTAAACGAAGACAATAACATGCTTATGTTTTCGACGTAATGCATCATTATAACGTCGTCATCATAACGTCCGATTTATATAATGTCAACGTAACATGTCCTTTAGTTTCCATAGTCTAAGGTTGGGACACGTCAAAAACGTTTGGCCTAAGCCATTGACAAGCATTTGTAAGTGAATGGCCTAAGCACTAAAAATATTTATAACTTAAACACTACTATATTTTTACTGGAAATATTAATGAATTCGTCAATTCAAAAAACATTGGTTTCTCCATTTTATTCAAAAAATAATATAACCGTTCCTTAATTACGTTGCAAAATAATTGCTAAAAAGTGGGACAGGCGCAAAACCCGGGGTACACTAAACAGTAAAATACTCACATAAAAAAGTCTGCTTTTCATTTTAAGCTTAAGCGTTGGTCACTTTTGAAACGTGAAACCACACAATGAAAGAGGTATAGAAAGGTAGTGTATTTAAGTTGAAACCTAGAACAAGTAATATGATCAAATTTGCGAAGGCAGAAGATGAAACGGATAGCATTATTGAGAAGGCAGTCAAAGTTATTTAACACATCTTTATTGAGATCAGGGTTACAGGCGTCGGCATAATCAATTAGTGGGAATATAAGGGAGATGAAAAGTAAGATGTAAATTTCGAAAGCGGTTAAAAAAGTAAAGAAGAAATAACCCTACGACTAACGTCGGACACTTGTGACGTCCAGCAGTGTGGAGTCAATGTAGAGGCCAAGGTTTTTAAGAGTAAAGCAGAGTAGAGTAGACGATTTCTTATAAACTATATGCTGGAGCTAACTAAGATCAATCTTGGAGATCAGGGGGTCTACTCTCATTCTCCGTCCGAATAAATAAATGTCAAATAAGTAATACTTGACCAAATTAAAAGACGCATGATGCGAGTGAAGCTTCATACTTGATGTTGTCTTTTAATTTGGTGGAATATTACTTATTTGACAGTTATTTTTTCGGACGGACGTCAGACGGAGTACGAGAGTAGACCCCCTGTTTAGATCCACCTACGACGACAATTGCTTGACATTTCAATGGATTGACAAATATCCCAAAATTAGTTTAAACGTAGTGCTTAAATTCTCTTTGAATTAGTTGACCATACAATGACGCATCTTAAATCGCGGTTTATCCGAGAAATATCAGAATTAACATCCTCAGCAGATACCTGCGCGTAAATCTGCAAGTCTTTTCAGTGAGAAAAATGAACATTTATTAAAAGAGAAACAAAAGTGATAACAGAATTCCACCTGCGCGTGCAGAACATCAGCCATTTAGGACACTTTAGGTCGCATGCGATCCGCTTAATTTTCAAAGGTATTATTAATAAATTGTGTTTAAGTTCGATTACTGGTAAATTATGCTTTATTGTATGTTTTTATTTTATAATAAAACAAAATTTCTAACTTATAATCTTGTTTTTTTAACAGAGAAATCAATAATCTTCGTACAATCTGGAGTCACAAGATTATTGATTTTTCTGTCAAAGATATTCAAGATCCCAGTTTTTATCTTAGGATATCTTTTATATATCTTAGAATAAAAATTGGGATTTTGAATAACCATGACAGAAAAATCAATAACCTTGTGAATCTGTAAGCTAGAAAAACGGTACTAACAATGCCATCTAGTGGATTTTATAGTAAACTGGTAGTGCGACATCTAGTTTTTGGGCGTCGTTATTAAAAAACCGAACCATAGAGTTGCGCATCTATCTCAAATATAGAGTTTATGATCTATAGTTCTATAGGTACTCAACAATTTCATTTTTTACAACGTGCCTAAGTTTCAAGTAGCGCCATCTATGTTTCCTAAACAAATTAATTCAACATAACGTTGCAAGCTTTTTTAACATAAAGTCTATGCGCTTAAACCTTTTCTAAACGATTTTGTTAGCTTCAAACTAAAAAGCATTTTCTGAAAAAGCGTTTAAAAAAAGCACGCTTTTTTAAAAAAGCATAACGTCTAAACATTTAAAAAAGTAAGCAGTTTTGCCCATCTCTAGTCACCTCACTCTATAAAACTGGCAAAGGGATTCGCTCTGGGCCTTTTGGAGGGAAAAGTGTCGTTTTTATTTTGACTGTCAATTATTTTGTGAAATCTAGTTTAAAGTGAAATAGGATAGTGCTATTGTGCCTTAATCGAAGATTAAAACGCGAAATTATACGACTCTCGAATTAAAATACCCGTATCGGCCCGTTTTAAGGAATCCCGAGTCAATCCAAGCACGCCGCCTCAAATTGCCTATACTCTTTGTGGCGGCCATATTTACAGAAACATAATTAAACTTCATGTTTAGGCTGATGGCTTTGCCAAAGCCTTAATAAATTAAAATATAAAAAAAATCTTGTTTTGTTCTAGGATGGAAAATGTTGTTACACACCATCTCTGTTACACATGATAAATAGCTTTTTAAAACAGCTGATTTCGGTAAGTTTCAAGTTCGTTCGTTTCCTGTCATTGTCATTTGCGTTGCGAACTGTCACTGTCAGGCGCGTGCGGATTAAAATGTAAATTATCAATTTTATTGCAACAAGGCTAGTGAAACAACATTATTAATATAATAATAATAAATGAATAAGTGACACGTAATCCTACAGAGAGTGCGAAACTATTTCACCATGTGGTCCATTTTGATATTGTTAGTTTTCTCAATAATTTCTTTTCTTATAACGGACGAACTAATACCTAAGTTGAAGGACTTGTTCATAAATGCCGGTTTATATGGCATTGATATGTGTAAAACTAGTAAAAACAAAGTGTGAGTATTTACTATTATAGTTGATGCTACTGATTGTTTGTTTACGAACATAAATCATAGTATTAATATTTTTTCTTTTTTTTTTAGCCCTGAGGCAATAGGAGTGGTATCAGGATGTATATTCCTGGTTACAAGTGTTTTGTTAATTCCCATAGTGTTTGGATATGCACTTATGGATAGGGAACATTTTCCTCACAATGAAGTAAGTTGTAATGAAATATTGTTATTATCATTAAGGCAAAAGTTAAAACAACTTGCAAAGTTTTGAAACTCCAAGATACTTGATACACTGAACCCTAGAATTGCAAAATTTAAAAAACTAAAATTGTCTATCCAATGTAGTTTTTGATTTGTTGGTAAGTTAATGATTTATTGTAGATTTTTTAAGATTACGGCCTTAAATTTTTTCGTAATAGAACCACATTATTATAGCCCTGTATACAGTTTATTACTGGGGGTGCACCCCAATAATAAACTGATGAAATTAAAAAAATTAAAATTTTTGGGAAACTGATTATGTGCTAGACAACCACTTCAAATGCTTAGTCGCAAACTAGGGAATTTCCTGTACTATGAGTGCTAGAGCAATGGAATTCACTCTGGAGTCTTCCCAGTACACCTAGGCCAGAATCAATTTATAAAAGTTGGTTTTCTAAATTGGTCTTACTGGGAATCAAATCCGGAACTTCCACATTCAGCACCCACAAAGTAAATCGCTAGGCCACCGAGGTTGTGGTCGTTGTTATATATGAATTTTTGGTGCTACCTGTTTTTTTTAATTTATTTTGTCAGTTTCCAAAAAATACTTTTTAAATTGTAGTGGAACAGAATCAAAATATTTTTACAAATCTCTGTGTAAATCTAACTACTCTAAATTATTACAATAACGCGAAATAAATTTCTAGTTTGCAGAGTTCCTAGCAGCATTACTCAGCATCTGTTGCATGCTGCTCCTTGGCTTTGCAGATGACGTCCTAGACTTACGGTGGAGATACAAACTGCTGCTACCAACAGTGGCATCAATGCCTTTACTTGTTGTCTATTATGTCAACTTTAATTCTACTACTTTTATTGTGCCAATTCCTTTTAGACAATGGTTGGGAGTTTCAGTAAATATTGGTGAGTTTTTTATTTTATTATATGGTAGTATGTAGAGGAATTTTACATTTATACTATTCTCTTATATTTCTGAGCTTAAATAATGTGTTATTCTACAATTGAAGTAGTCACTCAAAGATGATTTTTTAATGCTCAGTGCAATAAATATCGATAATTGGGGGGTGCTAGGGACCACTTCGGGAACCTAAGCTCTGGGGGTCCACTCTCGATCTCCGTCCGAAACAATGAATGCCAAATAAGCAATACTTGACCAAATGAAAAGACGCGTAATGCGAATGAACCTTCATACTGGGTGCTTGTCTTTTAATTTTGTCGAATATTAATTATTTGACAGTAATTGTTTCGGATGGAGATCGAGAGTAGCCCCCCTCAGGGCTCAATCTCGGCATATAACAGCTAATAAGTACATAATCTTTATATTAAAATGCCTTTATAAAGTAAGCTTTAGAATGTTTAAAAATTTTACCCTTTATTTTATTTTATTTATATTTATATATATTTTATTTTGAAACGTTGTAAAGTGTACCTAAAAATGCCTAAAATTAATTCAGTATGAGGCAATAAAAGGTATTCAGACCAGAATAGAGTTCAAATTGTTCTTTTAAAAACACTATAAAGTTTGTTTATACTAAAATAACATAACAGTTTAGACAAGCATCTTTGTGTCTGCCACTTCCAAGCGTCTTGTTATGAAAAACTAATGTGCGAAATTCAATTA